AGCTGGCGTTCAGCACAACCGGGCGCTGTCCGTTCAGCACCACCCGCGGGGAGCCCCCAAGCTGGGGTCCAGCATGAAGAAAGGGAAGGACTGACCCCCGAGGAAATCACCCCTGAGCCTTGTCCCGGGAAAGAGATGGAGCCCTGACCCCCCTGGCCCAGGAGGTTACACCCCTGGGACACAGAAGCAGCCGCAGTGATGCCCTTGTCCTCACATGCTTTTCATCTGACACGTTCCATGACACAATAGGTGGTACCTGTGTCCAGCACCCTGTTAATAGGCTAACATAGGAAAAAACATCCTGTAAAGAGAAGCAGATCCTTTGATGCCATAAATAAAAGTCATAAACATAACCCCTGGCTCACTATTTAGGAGACTGTGTCAGTGAAGATCAAACCCAAGATCTCCTGAAGCAAGACCATGTCTGAAGCACAGCTGCATCACAAGGAGCACGCTCAAAACTGTCTGGGGTAGAAGATCAGTATTGCAAACCTCAGCACTAAAATTTACTTCAGAAGTATCTGCACTCACATTTGCCAATAGATAGAAGGTTTTGAGGACGTATTTGTGCCAGTGGACAGAACCCTGGAACCAAGATAAGACGGATGATTGGACAGAATATGACACAGCCAACAAGTCCCTTCCAGGAAAGACTGAATGCTTTCCAGTGCACAAAGGTACATATTTTAAGAACAATTAGACAGGAAATGCTGAACTTCTTATTTAAGCATCTATTTGCATTTTTGCTTCTGCTAATTCAGTAAAAATTCAGCTTACATGGAGCATATTGTGCATGTGTATACATTAGGAAGGCTGACTCAGTTCCTGAGGGACTTCATACCAACGCATCCCTCAGGTCTCAGAGGTATGACAGCTTTGACTCGCTGATGGGTAGAGGACTGGGCCAGGCTGCTCACCCAGGTGTGAATTACTGATACTTTATGTTTCTGTTTAGGCAAACACTGCAACAGAAGGATCAGTGGCAGGTTCATTCACTCTGGTATGGTCTTCATCACTACGTCACAACACTTCACTGCTTTCATATTAAAATTGGGATGGAAATAATGGAGCTGCATAAATTAAGAAGTTAATAAACTGTAGAAGCTATAGAAAATTAAGTACCTTCCAATACCTAGAGGGGCCTACAAGAAACCTGGAGAGGGACTTTGGACAAGAGTCTGTAGGGACAGGACAAGGGGAATGGCTTTAACCTGCCAGAGGGGAGATTGAGATGAGCTTTGAGGCAGAAGCTCTTCCCTGGGAGGGTGCTGAGGCGCTGGCACAGGGTGCCCAGAGAAGCTGTGGCTGCCCCATCCCTGGCAGTGTTCAAGGCCAGGTTGGACACAGGGGCTTGGAGCAACCTGCTCTGGTGGAAGGTGTCCCTGCCCGTGGCAGGGGTTGGAGCTGGACCAGCTTTAAGGTCCCTTCCAACCCAAATCAGTCTGGGATTCTGTGATTCTATGATGAGTATATCAGAGTCCCACCCTGTGATGTGGACTGAGCTTCCATTTTGTTGGCTTTGTAGGACCCGTGGTAGTGATTAAGCTACAATCCTACCTAAAAAGATGCAGTCAGATCCTCAGCGTTTCTAAATACTTGTGCCCTGTAATCAACCCTCAGGTCCTGCTCTGTGTACATTCCATTGCACACCCCAGGCAGCAATTAATCTTCATGACAATTTTTCATCTAACTTTTCTCTTCGCTGTGTACACTGCCTGTCCAAACCCACTTTTCCCTGTTGCAAAGGGAAGAAGGTTGATCACCCGGACCTTCACCAAGGCCCCAGGAGGGCAGGGGTGCTCTGAGCGTCCTTTCTCTCTAGTGACTCCCTCCGTGTGCTCCCTCTAGTGCTGCACGGCACATACTGCACATCCAGACCCCTGCTGCTTCTCATGAGCATTGTACAGCATTTACCCATGCAGAGTGTTTATCTCCATGTTAACCTCCGGACACCCTAACCCACTGCTCCCTGAGCAGCTCCAGTGCAGGAGATGCACCGAGGACGGGCACGGAAGCAATGGGAAC